CTCCAATAGTCCCTGATAAGGGATATCTGAGAGATAAATTTGTTGAGATCTTGATTGTGTGAAATGTTTTTATTCCACCCTCACACTTAATTGATGGTATGGCTGGGGACAGCTTCTAGTGCCATACACCTGTGTCACCCCAAAATTGTTGAAACTTAATCCCCAATGTGATGGTACTTTGAAGTGGGGCCTTTGGAAGGTCGTGAGGGTGAAGACGTCATGAATAAGATTAGTGTCATTATGAAAGAGGCCCTAGAGAGTTCCCTCATCCCTTCTGCCATGTGAGGCTGTGGCAGAAAGACTGCCATCTGTGAATCAGGAAGATGGATTTCACCAGATACTGAGTCTGCTAGCACTTTGATATTGGACTTCCCAGCCATCAGAACTGCAGACAATAGATTTCTGTTGTTTTAAAACCATCCAGTCTATTTTGTTATAGTAGCCCAAACAGACTAAGACATCTAGATTAGAGATAGTTTCTCCCCAATTTTGAAGGTAGTGCTCATTGCCTCTGTCTTCCTGTGTTACCTATAGAAAATCTGATTTTCTTAATTCCTAATTTTATGTATATGACCTATTTCTCTCCGGAAACTTTTAGGATCATCTCCTTATCCTTACTACTTTGCAAATGCTTTGACTTGAATTTGGCTTGTAATAGAGAATCTGTCTCCACTTTTTACATTTGACTGCTGATGCTTTTTGATCCCCAGGCCTCCCTCTTTTCCTCTTGCCCCACTTGCAGGCAAAGCAATAAGCCCAGTGCTTCCTCCTTGGGAAGCTCAGGTCATGTGAGCCACGACCAGCCTGAACCTGAAAACCCTTATCACAGCACTACTCACAGCCAAAGTCAGCTCCCCCTCCTGACTCTCTCAAGACATATTCTGCCCTGTGTGGGAGCCTTGAGGCATGAAAGACCTCATTATATGCATAATAAATCTCTTAATGCACTCTTGGTACATGTGTGGTATCATCAGTATTGACATCCAAATCCGTTCATCATCTGCAGAGGGACCACAGTGTAGCTCCACCACTAATGATTCGGGTAAATTACATAATCGTTTTTACTTCAGTTTATTTGTTTGAAAATGGGGATAATAACAGTACTCATGTTGTTTTGAAGATTAAATGGATTAATCCATGTTAAGGACTTAAAGCAGTGCCTGGTGCATAGTAAAAATTTAACAAGTATTCCTACCGGTGTGAACCTTTTTAATTTAAAGTTTGGGGCACTTGTTGAGTTCTTTCAATTAAAGGACTCAGGTTAATTCAGTTATGACACATATTTTTGGTATCATTTAATCATATCCCTGCCTCTATTCTCTACTTCTGAAAACTTTCTCACACTTTGTCTCCTATTTTCTGTCAAATTTGCTTTTTGTTCGCTTTATGGGACATTTCCTCAACTTTATCTTCCAGCTTTATTTTCTGTGGGCTTTATGTCCATTCTCCTTAAGAAAAAAAAAAAAAAAAAAAAAAAAAAAAACTATTTTTAAGTCATCTACACCCAACATGGGGCTCAAACTTATAACCCCAAGATCAAGAGTCACATGCTCTACTGACTGAACCAGCCAGGTGCCCCTCCGTTCTCCTCTTTTTAATTAATAGTAGATCCCGGGTTTTTAACTAGCCTTGATCATTCAGACCTGGCACAATGAGAAATACTTTCTGAGCATCAAAGACACTATCAACAGAGGAAAAAAGCAACCCACAGAAAATGTTTACAAATCCTATATCAGAATAAGGGCTTAATATCCAGAATATGTCTAAAACTTGAAAACAAAACAAAACAAAAAACAACTCCATTTAAAAATGTGCAAAGGACTTATTTTTTTAAGATTTTATTTATTTATTTGACAGAGAGAGACACAGTGAGAGACGGAACACGAGCAAGGGGAATGGGAGAGGGAGAAGCAGGCTTCTCACCGAACAAGGAGCCCAGTCCCAGGCTCTATCCCAGGACCCTGGGATCATGACCTGAGCCAAAGGCAGATGCCTAACGACTGAGCCACCCAGGCACACCCAAAAATGTGCAAAGGACTTATATAGATATTTCTGCAATGAGTCTGAAAAACATGAAAAGATGTGCAACATGACCAATAATTGGGACAGTGCAACCAAAAATGCAAGATACCACTTCACACTCATTAGAATAGGTATTACCACCAAAACAAAAACAAACGAACAAAGGAAACAGAAAATAACAAGTGTTGGTGAGGAACTGGAACCCTTTTGTACTGTTGGTGGGATTGTAAAATAGTACAGCTGCTGTGGAAAATAGTATAGAAGTTCCTCAAAAAATTAAACCTAATACTACCATATTATCCAGCAATTCTGCTTCTGGGTATATACCCAAAAGAACTGAAAGCAGGGACTTAAATAGATACTGTACACCAATGTTCATAGCAGCATTAGTCACAAAAATCAAATTTCATTGATGGATGAATGGATAAACAAAAGGTGTTATGTATATACAGTGGAATACTATCCAGCTTTAAAACAGATTGAAATTCTGTTATATGCTACAACATGGATGAATCTTAAAGATATTATACCTAATGAAATAAGCCAGACACAAAAGCATAAATATTATATGATTGTGCTTATATGAAGTACCTATAATCATCAAATTCATAGAGACACAAGTAGAATGGTGATTTCCAGAGGGTAGGGGAAGGGAGGATAGGAAGTTACTGTTTACTGGGTACAGATTTTCAGTTTGGGATGATGAAAACATTCTGGAGATGGAGAGTGTGATGGTTACACAATAGCGAATGTACTTACGAACCTTAATGAACTATATATTTTAAAAGGGAAAAATAATTATGTTATGTTTATTTTACCACAATAAAAATAAAAGATACTCTTCGAGGATGAAGAGGTATCACCATTACAAAAATGGGATGTGTGGGAAGGATTGGTGGACTCCTCTTGTTTTCCTCTCTCCACTGACACCATCCCCTATAACTTTGTGACTGGTTATTGTCTACTGTCTCTCACTTTGGACACCTATTTGTCCGGCATACCATTATCAGATATCCACCTGGCTACCTCCCTCCTTCATTATCTTTTGGCTTCCATAATTTCAGATAGGAAGTCTGCTGTAATTCTTATCTTCCTCCCTCCCACCTCTGAATGTAATGTACCTTTTTTTCTCTACTTTTAAGATTTTCTCTTTGTCCTTGGTGATATCCAGTCATGAAGTTGTAAGACAGTGTCCATGGTAGGAAGAGAAACAACTGGAGCCCACCAACACCTCCCCACATCCCTTTGCTATCCTGTAGTGTATCCTCATCCTTGGAGAGTATTTCTGATTGTACAAGAGCACCATATGGACCTGAGCACCTGTTTTTCAGTTTTGAGATCATGTAAGCACCTCTCTCACCAAATAGCTGAAGGTCTTAGGAAAAGAAGCAATGGAGGGTGGCGAAGTTATTTTGTAGTAGATTTTTTTCCCCTAAGAAAGATAAGTGTTTCTTGTAGGATCCACTTACATTATTTAACCAGAACAAATTAAAACCAGAGCAGGCGATCCTAAAATTATACCTAACAACATAAATGGGAAATACATGAAGTAGTGTGACTAGTGATCCTGGTGTTGTTCAGCATAGTGGCCCTGCTTACCAGCCTCCTACCTGCTCTTCACATTATTCATGTCTTTGCAGTGGTGTTTCCTCAAGCAGATCTTAAAATGACCATTCTGCCTAAAATAGCCTTTCCTTCAACCATTCTTTAACCCTTGCTTTTTTTTTCTTTGTAGTACTCAATCACAACATGACATTTTATTATTCATTGGTTACTTTAGTGTCACTCTCCCCACTAGAGAAAAAGCACCATTGTTGCATTTTCATTGTCTTATTCATATCATATACCCACAGCCTAGAGGAGACGCCCAATAAGATTTATTGAATGAATGAATTTATTATGTATTAGCTTTATTATTTATATTAAATATATATTTAACATTGTTATTTAATCTGAGACTTTATTTCACTCTTTTCATTTTTATCATTTATCCACTCATTGTGTAATCATTTACAAAGCCTCTACTTTGTGTTATGAGTGCAGTTAGCATGAGAGGTGGGGAGAGACAAAGATGTATAAAAATATCCATAAAGAGGGGCGCCTGGGTGGCTCAGTGGGTTAAAGCCTCTGCCTTCGGCTCAGGTCATGATCCCAGAATCCTGGGATCGAGTCCCACATCGGGCTCTCTGCTCTGCGGCGAGCCTGCTTCCTCCTCTCTCTCTGCCTGCTTCTCTGCCTACTTGTGATCTTTGTCTGTCAAATGAATAAATAAAATCTTAAAAAAAAAATCCATAAAGAAATCCCCACTTCTGAGAGATACGATTCAAAGTCCTTAGCAAACAAAAATGGGATACCCTTAATTTAGGGGGAAATTTAAGAGCCCTCAAGAAGTTAGGCTATGAAAGAGTCCTCTGCTTCTTTCCAGCCCTTCCAAGTACCCCAACTCCCCAACTTCCTGATTGCGAAGCACAGCGAGTCCTATCCAGCTTAGCTCAAAGCTCCTCTCTTGCTAATAGACAGTTAGGGAAATCCCACTGATACCCGCCCCCATGCTCCTCCTTCCTAGGTTGAATGGCGCAACCCGGTGGGAGGGGCCGCCGGCCCAGCCAATAGAAGGAAGCGCCAGCAAGAGCCTGTGTAAACAAACCCAGAGGTGCGGCGCCTAGGGCTCCTCCCCCACGTGGGGGCTGGACGCATCTTTGGCTCCATGCCTATCCAGGACTAGCGTAATATCCTTTCAGCCAATCAGAGCCGATGTCTCCCGAAAGGGGGCGCTCCACCCTGAGAGAAAGAACGAAGGGAGCGAAAAGACAGATGTTTATGCCAATCGGAAGCTGGAACTTCTGAGGGGGTGGGCGGGAACTGATTCACATTTAGACCAATAAGCAACACACATGCCCTTCTAGGTGACTGAGCGGCATCATCTTCGGTCCAATAGACGAATGGGGCGGTGCCCAGCAACCAATGGCTTGGGTTCGGAGGCGGAGTAAGGAGCCAGTGTGCTGTAAGAGGTAACCTGGCGAGTGGCCGCGGCTCTTCTCGCGTGCTGTGGCTCACGCTTTGGTACTGGAGGCCGAGCCTGTTCTGGCGACCGCGACCTCTGCGGCGACGGCTGAGGCTCTCGGAGGAGCAGAGGAGTACAACCTGGAGGAAGGGCTTCTGGTCAGCCCAGGTGGGCTCGGGGACCCGGGCTGCCGGGGAGGAGACCCGCGGGAAGCGCCGCTCTCCAGGCTCTGGGGGCGCCCTGCGCCTCCCTTTCCGCAGCCGTCGGGGCTGTGAGGGGCGACACGCGCCTGTCCGAGCTCCGGTGGTGAGGGTAAGCCGGCGGGTCCCACGTCGTGGCCATTGGCGAGAAGGGGCGTCCGCTGGGGTTACCCTCCGCCTCCCGCTGGTGTTAGGGGGTCTTAGTCCCTTTCTCCCCGCACAGGCGCGCAATTCTTCCCCCGCCCCTCAACTTCCCACAGCCCCCTCAGCCTCCTTCAGACTGAAACCTCTGGCTTGCGAGTCCCCTCACTACCCCAGCGCAACACCGCGAGGCAAACTGACCGGTGTTGCATCCCCAGGTCCCCTCCCCAGGCGAGTAGGAGGAGGAGTTGCGCGTTTTCACCCCTCCCCCATTCGCGGGCCGGAGTGAGTTTTCTGCGTTTCTTTTACTCCCTCCACCTCCCACTTTACTCCAGCTTTCGTTCTTGATACCTAATTTGAATTAGTCCTGGTCTCTTCTCTGCTGCCTTCCATTCTGCCAGCGAGCCCCTTACCCCTCCCACCCCTTAAATTTCATCCACATCTCTCACGGAAACTAACATTTTCCACTTGGTCCGTCCAAGCAGCTGGAAGGTGAACGCAAGAGACGCAGAATACACAGTACAGGGAGCTTTCCAAGGCTGGAAAGTTTAATCGGTTTTGTTAATGGTAAACTATTCTTGCCTTCCTTAAAGTGGCATTTGATCATAATATTGTCTCTGAAATCTTTGTCCCAGTACAGTTGTTTTGGTGATAGTTCCTGAAAGTGCAGGTGGCCACGGGAAATTTAAAGTGTATTATTTTAAGAAGGCAGTTTTCATTATACTTTTTTTCTTCTTTTTTTGCTTCATTATGTTTTAAATAGCCTAACTTCAGTGGCACAGAGTTTGCAGTGTAAGGTCCTGTTATCATAAAATATACAACATAGTTTAGCTGTGTAGCACAATGTGATTTGCCCACACCAAGACTATGGATAATGTAGCATTAAAACTGTTTAAAAACAATACTCTCTTTTCCCCATTCACAGAGGATTTGTATTCACATTTATAGTATATCAGTTTGTGTTTTAATGGTGTTGTTTCTGGATAATAGTGCAAACTATGTTGTGCCTAAATAAAATTATGCCAAGAAATTTATGGCGAAGAGTCACATTAGAGTTTTGAAAATATTTATTTAGATATTGGACTGTAGAGGTTTTTTTTGAGAAAATGGAAGTATTGGATTAAGTGTGATGGGCCCCTTAGGCTGCATGTGTTTGAGAAAGAAAGAGTGTGCAAGAGAAAATACTCTTGTACAAAACTTTGTAGGTTCTCAAAGTACTTAGTTTTGTGACTTCATATAAATTGGAATTGTTTTTCTCAGTTTATAGAGGCGAAATGTAAGCAGTGAGTTTAATATGTACACTGTTTTGGCCCGAATTTTGCAAGTTTTTGTGAAAAATTCTCATTGTTTTCTTTAGTTGTTATATTTATGTATACACACACACACACATACACACACACGTTGTATTTTACTGTGGTAAGAGACTGTACCTTGTATACAGAGAAATAAGTCTAATAGATTGAAGTAATAGGAATCTTTACTCTGAGAAGCCAGCACATTGCATTGTCTATAGACCATATGTTTGAACCCTGTTAATAAATCATGTGAAAAGAGGAAGATCTTAAAGCCATTCTAACAAATGCCTAGGTACTAAGAAAAACAAAAGTATTAATTACAGAATTATTAATAGTCATCAAAGAAAAGTCCTGGAAAAACTGCAAATCTCTGAGTTGGTTGCTATTTTGAGTTGGTATAGGCTGTGGTTGAAAACCAAAGGTTTTTTGGGTTTTTTTTTTTTTTTTGGTCTTTTCAGGTGTATTTGTGCTTAGTAATTATTTGTTTGCAGATTTATTTATTTTTTTTAAAGATTTTATTTATTTATTAGACACACAGAGAGAGAAATCACAAGTAGGCAGAGAGGCAGGCAGAGAGAAAGGGGGAAGCAGGCTCTCTGCTGAGCAGAAAGCCCGATGCGGGACTCAATCCCAGGACCCTGAGATCATGACCTGAGCCAAAGGCAGAGGCTTAACCCACTGAGCCACCCAGGCGCCCTTGTTTGCAGATTTAAAAGATTATAACTATGATTTTTTCCTAGAGATCCTGTCTTTAAGGAGCCCACAGTTTAATGGGAGAGAGACCTGTAAACCAAGAATTAAATGCAGAGGGAGAGATTCTGCAGTGCAGGATAGTATGGAAGGCACAGAGAAGCACTGTGACCCCCTGTTCTGGCCTCATCTCCTGCTCCAGACTTTCTGCAGGGCCATTTCCTAAACCCACCTGTTTATGTTACACACTTGGGTTTCTCTCTGTTTGTGCTGTTCTCTCTCCTTAAAAGCCTTTTCCATACCTTATATGCCTGATGAGGTTCTATTTCAGAATCTCTTGAACCCTAACACTGGCCTAAACTCCATCCAAATAATTGTGTTCTATATCTTTCTGTTATTTCATTGCAAATGATTATTTTTGGTTCTCTACTTACAGCAATTTTAGTCTATAAAATCACCAAGAACACTAAATTAGTAAATACCAAACCACTGCTTCTAGGGAAAATATGTTCATATATACATCTTACATAGGTTATAATCTTATATAAATACAGTTCATCTTGGTAAATTCTATTTTCTTTATTTTACAAAAGAGAAAAGAGGGCCCAAAGTGTTAAGTGACTTCCCTGAGGCTGCCCTCTAACAAGTACCAGAGTTAGGCTTCAAACCCTGTCTGATTGATTGACCCCTGAGCCAGAGTTCTTTGCACTGCACTGCACTGCCCCCTACCATCCGTGTCCTCTAGTTATTCCTGTATGAGGCTGGAAACACAAATGCAGAGCCCTGCCTTGTTCTACTTAACTTGGAATGTGTTGGAGAAGTGACTCAATTTTTGCACTTTGGGCATGTCTGTGGATGACCGAGAAAGCACGGAGAGTGTTGATTTTGTGGTTACAAAGACATTTTAGCAAGGAGGAGAACTCGCAAATACAGGATCCATTAAAAAGTGAGGATCAACTACACTTGTAAATGACCTCTGGAGTCTATTTCATGATAACCCTTCTTGGAGTCCACTGTAGAATGTTCCTATAGCTTCTTCGAGAATTTGTTCACTTACTCAAATATGTATTAAGCATTTACTGTAAGCTAGGCTTTGTTTTAGACTCTGGTAAATAGACAGATTAAGCTCTTGCCCTTACTATACTATATTTGAGTAAGAGAAACAGACAGCTAACAGCTCAGGGGAGAGGTCCAGGTTGGAATGATAAACTAACTTGACCAAAGTAAAATCTGATGTGCCCCCCTCACTTCACATTTCCTAGCATATTGACTTCCAGAACATTTCTGTTTTACTCTGTGCATAAACGCTTCCTTTTAAGCCTCTCTCCATTAACCTTTGTCAACTTGTTAAGTGTCCTCAGTTGATTTTGAGGCCATTTACCTAGCAGATTTTCAAGAAGAATCAGTCAGATTTGGTCTTTGATTTCTGGCTTTGCCACTTACCAACTGAGGGACTGTGGTCAAGTTGTAGAACTTTTAAGCCTGTTTCCTAATTTCAAACATAGTGATATGGTATGTTAAGCCTTTGTCAATTGAAAGGAAGAGGCATGCATGTATTGCCTCTGATGATGAGGGTTTAATGTAAATTTAAATAGGAAATCATCTCAGCAGCCATATTGTCCCTTGGCCCTACTGCTTTCAAAACCTTAAAAAACAGTAACATTATTTAGAATAGGATTTGGACCTGGAAGCCTGTCTTCTTTTACTTTGCTCACCTAACATTTGTATTTCCCAAGGGGGAACTTCATTGGGTTGGTTTGTCACCTGAAACAGAGAACCCTTATTGGGCAGAATTTTGAGCCAAGACATGTCCTAGGTGTTCTCTCTCAAGCTCAGCCTGTAGATCGTCTTTAGTTAGGGCTCTAAGTGCTAGTCCATTTGCTTGTGGCCCAAGAAGCAGGGTTGGTTTCATGCATTATCTATTGTATAGATCTTAGCATATATAAAAAGAACCGCTTGGAGACAGTTTCTTCAGAAGACAGTTGAGAGTATAGCAGTCCTTAGAGCTTTAATGTCTAATGAAGAATGTAACAAAGTAAACGTATGTCAAATATTCCATAAGTGTTCCTTTCAGTATTACATTTAGTATTATTACAGTGTGGTTATTTGTTTATATGGCTATCTTCTTTCTTACTAGACTGTGAGCTCCATGAATGTGGGGTCCATATCTTCATTTTCTTTTTTTTTTCTTTTTTTTTTTTTTTGAAGACTACTTGTTTGAGAAAGCAAGAGAGTGAGGGTGCAAACAAGGGGAGGAGCAGAGGGAGAGGGATAAGCCAAGTCCACACTGAGAGCAGAGCCCAACATGAGACTTAATCCCAGGACCCTGAGATCATGACCCAAGCTGAAATCGAGAGTTGGATGCTTAACTTACTGAGCCACCCAGGTGCCGCTCCACTATCTTCATCTTTCTGTCCATGGTGCTTATGTAGTAATAGATGCATAAATGTCTGACTTGAGAAATTTCCTTACTCTTCCTGGAAGGATGGGAAGATATGAAGGCTTTTCCAAATAAGGTATTGTTTAACCTGATTCTTAAAGGATGAGTAAAAATGTTTTCCAGGTGCATAAAACTTTGAGACAGCATTCTGAGCAGGGACCAGCGGGTACAAAAGCACAGAGATATAAACAAACAAAAATCACCTAAGGAAAAAACTGAATGGGCTCGACTAGAGGACATGTCACAACTGAGTTAACTCTGACCACTGCTGCTCAGTAATGGATGCAAGTTTTAGGGAGAGAGCATAATACTCTCATGCTGTTGGCAAGATTTCGCTAACAGTATAGAAATACAAGAATTGAATTCTGGGGAATGTTATACCTGAAGAAGTGACTTTGTTTA